ATACATACACGGTGAAAACTATAAAACTCAAGCTTACTACTAAACCAACAATAGGCAGATCCTTCCACTATAAGAGGAAATTTCCAGTGTAAGCTGACCTCTCATTGTACGTAATGTATGTAGCCACGTGTACTAATAACATATCTGTTACATGTCATAAACATGTATAGGTAGGTATAGGTATTGGTAGAAAATACTCACACACTCACAATTTAGCTAAGGCTAAAATATCAAGGTAAGTCAGTAATCAATAGGTCCATAATTTTTATGTACTTATGTAGTAGGTAGCACTATAGGATTACCACCACACTAGGATTTTCTCCTGTATCATGGAGGCAGTTTACAATTATAAATTGCACAAGGACAAACATCCTGATCCAGAACAATTATTTGTAGGTCATACAAATACTTGTTCCGTGCGAAATTCGAACCCACGGACTGCAGCGCAGCAACACATTGCTAAGCCAGTGCGCCACGGAGTAACGATAACGTAAGGATGTAAGGATGAATAAGTAAGTTACAGTTTTATTTCTTTATAGTTAGGTACCGACACACCGAACACACCTATATTTTTTTATTACTCACTAAGTGCTTGGCTTTTGCACTACGGGTCGGGAGTTCGATTCCCATACGGAACAAATATTTTTATGGCCTACAGATAGTTGTGAAAATTTGTGTTTGTAATCGCACCGTCTCTGATCCAGGAGAAATCCTGGAGTGGGGCAACGTTATAAAAAAACAATTACTACATAGATAACTATATTTTGTTGAATATTGACAAAACAAAAACAAACCTATTTAGGTAACTTTTTATCTTTTTAAGCTATTGCATAGCTTCTATCGCGGGCCTTGAGTGCGGGAAAATCCAGAAATTTCGTAACGAAAAAAACCTCACGGTCTCCGACGGGCACGGAGGTGTGGCTTGAAGGCCGTGCATTGTCTAACGATGGTCTAACGTCGTTTCTTTTCCTCAGTCTTCGACACGGTGTTTGTGTATAAAGTGTTTTGAAATTTTGAATATGAATGAACAAAGTGCATTTATTATTAATGAAGAAAGTCACGAAAAAATAGTGAAAGAAAATGAGTGAGTACTCTATATACATACCTACATTTTATTATTATCACAAATGCAGTACTAATTTTGAATTGAAAATATAATACTGCTATAAAGATAACCTAAATTTTTGATATTAAAATGAGCGATATTAAAAGTAGCCCTCTTTATATACACACAAAAACACGCACACGCGTATAGTTTAAATTCTCAATTTAGATTCTCAATATGTATATATATACTCGATTAACCGGACTAATTGTTGCCGTTAGGGATTCGGATAATCGAAAATCCGTATGATCGAATGTATGAAGAAAAGCGGGTTTTGTGCATTTGTAGTACATATGTACATACATAATGTTATGTGTTTATTAAAAACAACAATTTCAACGAAAATCAATGTTTATTAAGAAATTATTATTTTTTAATAAACATTGATTAAATTCCATGAAGAGATATAAATCTATATAACCATCCGTTACTTGCGACAAACGAGCCGCCGTCACCTAATTTTTTATTTAACTGTAATGCTTTTTCACAAAGCAAAGGGCCAGATATAATTTGCCCAGTTGATCGTTTTTGTAAAAACCAACAATACAAAGCGTCTTCTAATTGCCAATTTACTCGCGGACATAGGTCCTTATGTCCGGGACGGGGGTTTGTTAGCGCCTGATAGTAGATCGTCTTATCTCAAGCGGTGTGAAGCGACGATTAGTGAGGTGCGGGAGGGGGAGGCTAGCTGCATTTGTGCGCGCGGTCGGTCACCCCTAAAGTTGGGCGTTATAACATACAACAGATAATATATTTCATTATATATTTTTAATCTTACAACACATTAGAATAATGAACCATTGACTGTTACAATATTATATTCATTATCGTTAGAAAGCGTCATCTGGTTACGTTTACGGTCCAACCGTCGCGTCAGCCGAGACAATGGGAGTCAATAAAATACTACCTACATTCATTATGCCACAAGGATTGCGTATAGCTTACACTAATTTAAACTCTAAGCTAACTTAATAAGAGCTTATTTTACTAACACTAAATTATGACGGTAAACAAAAATATATTATTTCCTCCATTAGTTGACTGTTGTGCCTGTTATTTAATTTGGCTGTTGTAATATATAATATATCAGTTGTGTTCAGTTAGCTGTCTAGCTGAGATGACAATGACACTGTTATCTGTTAAATTATATACGTAATGTTTTGATAGCAGGTCCCCATATTACGTGAAAAAGCTATTGCCGTTTTTGTTTATTTTTCGTTAAACAAAACGCGAAGACAGCCGACTACTGAACTGAACTAACCGCGTGTACAATGTAATATTTAAAACTGTTATAATATATTATAACAGTTTAAAACAACAGTTAGAAAAATATATTACAACAACATAACGAATTAGAAAAATATAACAGTTTCGCCCATCTTTAGTCACCCCTGTTGTCATCGAGCCGAGCTAGGGAGCAGACGGCGGGGCCGGGCTGCACCCGGCCCGCCGCTAGGGCGCGCTCCTAGCTAGGCACGCGGCGCCTGCGCCGATGACGTTCTCCGGTCGCATTATAGGGGTCGCGAGAGTTTTTGCGCGAAGCCGGGTTGTTCATATATTGAAAGTCTCCTTGTTTTGTCTTAGACTTATGTTAATAGAGCGTGCCATTTGAACTTAAAGACAATTAATTGGACAATAAATAATAAGTGACAAATCTTGCCGTGGAGCGTGGAACTGAGTAGTTGCGCGTCTTGTTAATATAATTGCCGTACGGCCGCCCTGACGTATGTACTGCGCGAACCTGAGTTTTTTGCGACGCGGTCCGGTGATACAGTATTTTTCACAAATAGTGAGTTCGTTATAACGCGGGTTCGGTTAAATCTGGTTGAATTTGATTGGATTAACCTAAGTAACTTGAATTAATATCAAAGAAAAAGAAATACTGCATAAATAAAATAAATAAATAATTATAATTGCATAAGTTGATACAAAATGCTATGCAATAGCTTTACCGCGGCAGTCCCCGAGTGCCACACGTCTTTTTTTTTCATAAAGTTTACCCACGCCGGATTTCTCCTGAATATGAACGGTGTGTTTACAAGCACAAGTCTTCACATACAGAAACACTTGTGACTAGTAGCGCAGCAGCCAATCGCTTAGCCACTGCACCAAACGTGTCATATGCTAAAGTTCTACATAATATTTATAATCACTAATACTGTAAGTGTACGTTTGCCCGTTTCTTTACGCCAACCCAATCGCTTCTTATTTTTATTACGCTTATTTCTCATTGCGCCAACACTATAAACCTAAGTATCTATTTTAATATTTAATTTTACGTCGTCCTGTTACGTAATGTGTGTTCTGAGCGGAAGCGACACAGTCCCCCCGTTTAAAAGCCGAAGCCAGAGTGAACGATGGTGTCATATATCTCAAAGTTTTTGTCTTACTGAGATAAAAATAGGTTTACATGCTCGAAACTTTAAAAATATTTAAGCCCAAATAAATATCAAAAAATTATGCAAATTATTGTAAATTATTGCAAAAAAAACCCCGATTATCCTTTTTATTTTTTCCTAGATCGACAGATTTGGAGTTAGGCTACAATAAAACATTAAGTTTATAGCTGTATGCTTATTACTTTAAGACTTATTATTATTTGATCATAGCATATGCGCAAGCACAAATGACCTTTGTCGAAACTAAACAGGAAAACATTAAAACACTTAAGTTACATATTAGTTTTTAATTAATTGTTTTACACAATTGACCTACCTACAATTAAAATATCTAAAACAGTTGCTAAAAGTGGTCACCTCCAGCTTGTAGGCAAGCTAAAGCTCTATGTGCCACCTTAGTTTACAAGCGCATTCATTTGTAAATCAGATTCTATTTCTTCGGCGAATGACGTTATTTTTGATGAGTTCTTCCCTGATGTTTGGAACTGTGTTTCTAATTTTAATACCACGTGTTTTTTTTCTCTCCTCAAAACGTAAATTGAACCTCCCAAGATTCACCCTCAATCGGGTGGACTATTAATGTCATTTTCATTTAGCCCATGAAGGTTAGAGAACAGGAGAACTCACTATGTACTAAAGCATAGCTAGGCTGTCCTTGAAAATTGTAGAATTAATAGCGGCGCTGACGACGGTGAGTAGTGACTGCGAAGTTAGCTGTTTGTGAGTACAAGTAGGTGAATATTGTACAAATTTTCATTTCATTTTTTTCAAGCTCCGTAATTTTGTAATTTTTGACAAAAAGAAACATTAAAAAATGAAGAAATATCTTATTGTGCGTGGATGTGCAAGTGGTTGAGCATCTGACCGAAAAAAAAAAGACTGAAAATGACTTTTATTGACTGCACTTAGTGATCGCAGCGCCTCACTGATAGTGTCCATATTTCTGGGACACTATTTTCTACGGCGATCGTTCTCTTGTTCTCTAACCTTCATGATTTAGCCATTCGGCATCTTCGTTTCAATCTGCATCTCTTATTCTGCACATTAATTCTCAAACACAAGCACGATGCGCTACGTGTACGTACTGAATTTGAGCTCTGGGCGAGCCGTTCTATCCTTATATGTACCTAAAGCTTGTTGTAGTGTACCTATCAAAGCGGGATTGCATAAAGTTTTGTCTCTGGTCGGTTTCTTTATTAATGTAATGCAAAAAAACTCATTGTTTATTTTTGAAAAAAGTTTGTTCGCAAATCTTCCCAAACAACTTCTGCGTCAGGCAAAGGGCTGGTCTGAATTCCTTTTGTTACATACCTTTTCATTTTATTTTGAGGACCTTCGGCAATGTCCGAGCAGCTATGAGAACTGCCGCGTTTTAAAGGAGAGTTATTTGATTTTTCGGAATTTTCTGAGTGTTGTAATGAAGTATTTATTGTCATTTCTTGTATCTCGTTAGATTCTGACGCTGTTCCGGTATCTGGTACCGGTACTGGTATTGATTAATCGAATTGGGTAATATTTTCCATAAGTAACAATTCTTTATCCATTTCAATAACTGGAGTAAGGCTCTCTTTACTAGACATCAAATCTTCTGGAGTGGAGCCTAGTAATTTTGAATCACATTTATCTCTTCGCATAGTTTCAATTTCACCTGAATCATCAGTGACAACCACAGTGAAATTTGAACTGGTTGAGTCTTGATTGTTTCTTCCTGAATGATTTATTTTAATTATTGGTTTTAAAAATTCGAAATCCAAGTCTGAAGAATCGCTTTCATTGAGATCGGAGCTCATAGCACCTTTGTTTAATACACTAATATCATTTGAACTTGTTTCGGAGGTACAAACTTCAGTAGACTTACTTGACAAATGTTCATCTTTAGAAATATCATCCTCAGAATCAGCCTCATTATCATTAATATCAATGATTTTAGTTTAAATATCATCTTCGGAATCGGTTTCATATTCAACACCATGGAATAATTTTCTATATAATTTGAGCATTTTTCTTTCTAATAACTGATAGTATTCCTCCGGTTCATCATGACGGTTCTTTTCCCTTTCTATAATAAGATCTGGCAGAGGACTATATGATCTGGACGAACCATCTGCTGAAGATATATCGGATAAATTAGATCTCAGTTCATTTGTTGCTGAAACTGTCGGTAGCCCTGTAAAATAAAATTTCTAGGATTAGCTACTCGTGTAAATGATTACACATTTTTCAATTTTTTTTGATAACCTACACTCGAAGATTTTATCAGTCACTTTTAGGAGTCAAAATTTTACCGGGCGGATCGGTAAGCTGAAATGGATTGCCATTTCAGCTTACTGATTTAGGCCAGTTTAATAGCTTGAAGAACCGACAACCGACGGGGAAGGAAGGTTTTTGAGTATCGGTTAGCAAAGTGTTGAGTATCCAACTCTAGATGGAGTAATAATCTAGTATGATCTACAGGATGTGGATGCAGGTATTCAGTAGTGGACTTGTCAGGGGTAATGATGATAATTACGATAGAAGTGTCTAAATATTAATAGTTCTATGACAAGAGCTAAATAATGTCTTTGTTGCGTTATCTGGTTATTAGGTGGACATTATAAATTGACTGAAAGATTTTGATATTTTACAATTAACTATAAAATAAAGTTATAGCCTATATACGTCCTACTGATGGACACAGGGCTCTTCTTGCTTCTGAGAGAGTTTAATGGCAAGGAAGTGTCAGCCGTGCTGCCCAAATCCAAGTTGGTCGATTTCACACGTTTTCGAAATATATTTTTTCTTATTTTTCAAACATGCCGGTTTCCTCACGGTGTTTTCCTTCACCACCGTGAACGTGCTAAATCAGCAATTAAAATTGCAATTAACAAATTATTAAGCCGTGGTAGCTCAGTGGGTAAGCGCTCGCTGTAAATTTCACAGTAAGCGAACAACCCGGGTTCGATCCCCGCAATTAACTATAATTACATAATATTTACAATCATAATTATACTAAGTTTACCTGTTTCATTTTTGTTTGATATCATGTTTTAATAAATTATTTTAAAGTCTAATGTAAGTTCAAGCTGGGTTAGTTTATTTTTTAGCCACTATTATTCTATTTCCGAACAGATTAATGGAAAAAGGAACAACTTGCATTTAAATTGCCCATGTTGTTAGGAAATCCACCAGGGGAGGGGGGTACACTTCCATACTTTAGGTTGGGGCTTAATAATTTGCAAAGACACTAGTGCCATCTTGTACGATATCCGCATAAACTTTCGAACATAAAATTCTTAAAGGTGCGCTAGATGGCGACTAAACCAATTCTGGTTATTCTCGAACTGGCACGTAGCAACTTTATATGACATAATGACTACCGACGTGTGAGCAAGTTGTTGTTTTCACGATCGCTTTTGCCATATAAATGACTTTCTTGAGTTGGTTCGTTGAGTTGGAATTAGCCCTCTGTTTCTTGTTGGCTGTTTAGAGTGTCATGCCGGAACCACATTATATGTTTGTGTAGTGTTGTGCGAAATAGATGCTTTCATTTATCATTCCGGTAACCGGGTGGACATATTTAATTTGGTCTGGTGTTGTATTTTGCAGAATCGACGCTTTTACATCGTGTTTATTAAATATATATAACAAAAAATAAATGTTAATATTACTGAAATCTATAATACGTGTTTTTTAATTGAACCCTAATAATATAAATATAACCGCCTATAGTATAGATAGCTGTATATACATAACAACAGACAGCTATCTATAGTCAACATGATATTGAGATTAGTTCAAGGGATATGATACCAGACGGCGAAACTATTCGTATTGGGTGACAAAAAATCCTAGGAGATGGCTCTGTATTTCTGTATATATTACTCTACTCTATGGAATCCACTACCCCGTCTCAACCTATGAGTGTCGTGTTAGGCGACAAAGGGAAATAATGAAAAAGAGATGGGCAGCAGCAATGGTAACAAAAAATACATAAACTGCGGTTGCTAAACCACCTGCAAAGCCTGGTGCCCAACTATGGAAAAAATCCCCCCATATTCAATCTGTGAGAAAGGCCTATGTTCAGCTGTGGACTTTTGATAAGCTGTAATGCACGAATTAATCATATAGATAATAATTCAAAATAATAAAAATCTGCGGTTGCCAATTTACCGACCAAGCGTGGCAACTATGGCAAACATCTTCCATATGAGAAAATATATGTGGAGGTCTATATTCAGCAATGGAGCGTTGTTACGTTGTATTAAAAGAACGTAATTAAGTTACGGTTTTTACCAGTTTTCACCTACCTGGCAAATCCTCGAATAAGCTTCGGACTAACTTTGATTTCTGGTGTTCCCATTCTTGACTCCGATTTCGCCACATATTATTGTTGTAATCCGAAAGAAATAAATACTTTTATAACTAGTAGAAGCTAATAGCAGAATCGATAACGGATGTTAGGGTATTTAAAAATTTGTGCGCAATAACACAATTTCGCAGTAGAAGGTATTTCTAATTTTTGTGTCTATGATAAATTCAATTAGTCTATGACTAAATTATGAATAATTTATTATTAATGTTTTGTAAATATTTATATCAATGAACGTTAACAGAAACTTCACATAATATGAACAAAAAACGTAGTCGAATAATATGAAAATTCGCACTATCATGGTACAATTAAAAATATATTGTGAAAATGTCACTATCAAATGTATTTAAATTCACCTGGTATATTTCTGCCAAATTATCACCAGATTAATCATGGAATTATGGGTTTCACAGGAAACTGTAAACATGTAACCAAATACCCCTTTGAAATACCGGGTGGCCCATAAGTCCCTTGAAATGTAAAAAAATAATTAAAAAAAAAACTAATGACATTATGAAAAAGGTTTTTATTTTGTCATAATCCTTATAAAATGGGAATTATTTTTTGAAAATTACATCATCTAAATGTAATCCGTTACGATCGCGGCACTCCTGTAAGCGACGTTTAAAATTATCCATCACTGCGCGGCAAGTAAGCTCTGTAATGTTTGCCATTTCTCTTTGGATATTTTCTTTCAGGACGTCAATTGTCCGCGGGTTGGTTTCGTACACTTTAGTCTTAAGATAACCCCATAAGAAAAAGTCCATTGGGGTCAGTTCTGGACTACGTGGTGGCCAAGGAATATCTCCTCTTCGAGAGATCACTTTATTAGGGAAAAGTTGACGGACGACGGCATAGCGACGTTAGAGGTATGGGCAGTTGCTCCATCTTGTTGAAACCAGGTCCGCGTATTGAAGCCTGGAAAATTCTGTAACTCTGGTGTAAAAAAAGTCCTGGATCATAGCTACATACCGTTGTGAAGTAACAGTAAGCGTGCGGCCTCTGCCGTCCTCAAAAAAGTAAGGGCCTATAATGACATGCGCTGACATAGCCGCCCAAACTGTCACTTTAGGGCTATGTAAGGGCTTTTGATGTTTGCGATTTGGATTTTCGCAACTCCAGTAGCGACAATTTTGCTTATTCATATGGCCGTTGATGTGAAAGTGAGCCTTATCAGAGAATAACACGTTATTAAACGAAGTAAAGCGGTTCAACATTTCATTTGCGAAATTTAGTCTGTGGATAGTGTCAGTATCTTTTAATTCCTGTACTATCTGAATCTTGTACGGGTGAAGATGTAAATCTTTCTTTAAAATTCGCTGTAACGATGTTCTGGGTAAGTTTAATGCACTGGAACGCTTACGAGTAGACTGGGTAGGATTTTCACGAATTGAGTGTTTCACTACATCGATGTTTTCTTCCGTCCGTGATGTCCTTGGTCGACCTGACCGTTGTTTATCCAACGTCGAACCACTCTCTTCGAACTTAATAACCCAGTTCTTAATCGTTTGAACACTTGGAATATCTTTAAAGTTGCGTAAATTCTGATATTCTCGAAATTTACGCCGCGCAATCATTGTTTCGATAAAACTCGCGCACACAAAATGCACGGTCCGCACCTGTTAAACGCTCCATGGCGACTGAATTCCCAGAAACCGTCGGTACTGCCCCCGTACCGCGCGCGCCACTCATGCGTGCCTTTTGTATTTTATTCGAAATTTACATTTCTAACGACTTACGGGCCACCTTGTATTGTATTTTCTTTATTTGTTTTTTCCAACAGTGTTGCCACGTAGACCGGTCCGAATCGTCAGAATTTTGACGCGAATTAGTCTCAATTCGCCTAATTTTTTTTGATAAGTGCCTGAAACCGCTTACTGTTATGTCAAAGAAAATGGTTAATGTGTTCGTAATTGAAAGAAAAAGGAGGGCAATAACAGTCCGCTGCAACATGTTGGCTCGCAGATTTGCTCGGGGTAACACAGAAGTTAAAATTACACTTTTTAAAGTATTCTGCCAAACAATGTATGAGTGAAATCAGCCAGGGGTAATATTATTAATATATTTCGATCTTTCGAAATTTTTTTTGACTATTTTTACCAAATTAGAGACAAAAGCTATCGTACCTCAGTTAGATCAACATTATAGTAGAATAAAAATATTTTGGTTTCTATTTTTGATACCACGTGTTTTTTTTCTCTCCTCAAAATGTAAATTGAACCTCCCAAGATTCACCCTAAATCGGGTGGACTATTAATGTAATTTTCATTTAGCCCATGAAGGTTAGAGAACAGGAGAACGATCACTACGTACTAAAGCATAGCTCGGCTGTCCTTGAAAATTGTAGAATGCATAGCGCCGCTGACGTCGGTGAGTAGTGACTGCGATGTTAGCTGTTTATGAGAACAAGTAGGTGAAGTTAGTTGAATATTGTACAAATTTTCATTTCATTTTTCTTGTAGAAAATTTTCAAGCTCCGTAATTTTCTTAATTTTGGACATAAAGTAACATTAAAAAATGGAGAAATATTTTATTGTGCGTGGATGTGCAAGTGGTTGAGCATCTGATCGGAAAAATAGACCGAAAATGACTTTTATTGACCGAACTTAGCGATCGCAGCGCCTCACTGATGGTGTCCATATTTCTGGGACACTATTTTCTACGGCGATCGTTTCTTTCTCTGGGGGGGGGGGGTTTTTTTTTTTTTTTGGGTTGTGTTGGGTTAGAGGGGGGGGGTTGGGTGGTTTTTTTTTTTTTTTTATTTTTTTCTTTTATTTATTTAAAAAAAAAAATTTTTTTTTTTATTCACTAACCTTTAATTTTTTGTCATTTCTGTTCTCTAACCTTCATGATTTAGACATTCGGCATCTTTGTTTCAATCTGCATCTCTTATTTTGCACATTAATTCTCAAACACAAGCATGATGCGCTACGTGTACGCACTGAGTTTGATATCTGGGCGAGCCGTTCTATCCTTATATGTACCTAAAGCTTGTTGTAGTGTACCTATCAAAGCGCGATTGCATGAAGCTTTGTCTGGTCGGTTTCTTTATTAATGTAATGCAAAAAAACTCATTGTTTATTTTTTGTAAAAAATAGAAAAGAAATTCACTAACCATATTGAAAAAATAAAAATAGTATTATGAATTTAGATTATATTGTCGTTTCAAAATTTTTATTGCTTTATATTTTTTTTTATCTTAAGTAAGATTTTGAATAATCCTCCAGCTCCCTATGTCAACAAAAGTAAGAAACAATTGAACCCCGCCCCATAGCCTGCTTACGTAATACTTGAACGTGCTTAAGGCCGTCTATTTATGATAAATATGTAGCAAAGGGTTTTAAAAAAAACTAGAATGTGATCAATTTAATAATATATTTTGTAAGCATAAAAATTTCTTCATATTACCTATAAGGTTGCATCTATCAGCAAATCACATTAGGACAAATTATATAAATAAATAAAAAAATTACAATATGGTTCTTTAATCAGACATGATTTTCGCAATTACAAAGATGATACACTAATGGCGTGCCTTGAAAAAAGTTTGTTTGCAAATCTTCCCAAACAACTACTGCGTCCGGCAAAGGGCTGGTCTGAATTCCTTTTGTTACAAACCTTTTCATTTTAATTTGAGGACCTTCGGCAATGTCCGAGCAGCTATGAGAACTGCCGCGTTTTAAAGGAGAGTTATTTGATTTTTCGGAATTTTCTGAGTGCTGTAATGAAGTATTTATTGTCATTTCTTGTATCTCGTTAGATTCTGACGCTGTTCCGGTATCTGGTACCGGTACTGGTATTGAATCATCGAAATGGGTAATATTTTCCATAAGTAAAAATTCTTTATCCATTTCAATAACTGGAGTAAGGCTCTCTTTACTAGACATCATATCTTCTGGAGTGAGACATAGTAATTTTGAATCACGTTTATCTCTTCGCATAATTTCAATTTCATCTGAATCATCAGTGACAACCACAGTGAAATTTGAACTAGTTGAGTCTTGATTGTTTCTTCCTGACTGATTTATTTTAAATAATGGTTTTAAAAACTCGAAATTCAAGTCTGAAGAACCGCTTTCATTTTCTATTTCATTGAGATCGGAGCTCATAGCACCTTTGTTTAATACACTTATATCATTTGAACTTGTTTTGGAGGTACAAACTTCAGTAGACTTACTTGACAAATGTTCATCTTTAGAAATATCATCCTCAGAATCAGCCTCATTATCTTTAATATCAATGATTTTAGTATAAATATCATTTTCGGAATCGGTTTCATATTCAACACCATGGAATAATTTTCTATATAATTTGAGCATTTTTCTTTCTAATAACTGATAGTATTCCTCCGGTTCATCATGACGGTTCTTTTCCCTTTCTATAATAAGATCTGGCAGAGGACTATATGATCTGGACGAACCGTCTGCTGAAGATATATCAGATAAATTGGATCTCAGTTCATTTGTTTCTAAAACTGTCGGTAGCCCTGTAAAATAAAACTTCTAGGATTAGCTACTCGTGTAAATGATTACACATTTTTCAATTTTTTTTGATAACCTACACTCGAACATTTTATCAGTCACTTTTAGGAGTCAAAATTTCACCGGGATGATCGGTAAGCTGAAATGTATTGCCATTTCAGCTTACTGATTTTGGTCGGTTTAATAGCTTGAAGAACCGACAACCGACGGGGAAGGAATGTTTTTGAGTATCGGTTAGCAAAGTGTTGGGTAGCCCACTCTAGATGGAGTAATAATCTAGTATGATTTGCAGGATGTGGATGCAGGTATTCAGTAGTGGACTTGTCAGGGGTAATGATGATAATTACGATGGAAGTGTCTAAATAAAATGCAAATATTAACAGTTCTACAACAAGAGCTAAATAACGTCTTTGTTGCGTTATCTGGTTATTAGGTGGACATTATAAATCGACTGAAAGATTTTGACATTTTACAATTAACTATAAAATAAAGTTATAGCCTATATACGTCCTACTGCTGGACACAGGCCTCTTCTTGCTTCTGAGAGAGTTTAAGGGCCGGGAAGTGTCAGCCGTGCTGCCTAAATCCAAGTTGGTCGATTTCACACGTCTTCGAAATATATTTTTTCTTATTTTTCAAACACGCCGGTTTCCTTACGGTGTTTTCCTTCACCACCGAGAACGTGCTAAATAAGCAATTAAAATTTGTAGTGTTATGCTTACATACATACTTACATATCATTTTACACTATTTTATTTTTATTTTTCCATTCTGTTTTTGATTTTCTACATTCACCTCAAAACTGGATATTTTGCATCACCTTTATTTCCATAGGATCCTGTAATATTTTTAATTCATAAGAACACAATAACAAATCATTTTCACTTCGTATTTTCACGTTATCAGCACTTTTTAAATCGGTGTCAATGGAGTCTACCTTTTTCGATCTTTTATTTAGTTCTCCGTAACTCTACAATTTCGGGTTTCGTGCGCGCTCTTGCGCTACCTTTTTTCCTATATAAATAATATCTCATTTTTCACTTAAATCTTGCCGTTTCTGTATTACGAGCTTAAAACCAAAATTTGACATGTTTTGACATCGTTGTTTATCTGGTTGTCGTGGCAATTTTTATTCAAATATTGTTACCGGCCTGATGTTTTTACTTCAAAAAATACTCTTTTCTTCTTGGCCATTTACAAAAATTTGCTTTTAATTTAAATAATTTCAAATAATTTCTCGTTCTTATCCCAGATCCGTCAAAAAGTATAAAAGCCGAAGAATCGGCCGATAGAGGTCCTCACTTCAGCTTTGATACGAGAAGCACCTCTTAAAGGCTTTATCCGCACTGCCTCGGGATCTTGCAAGCCTTCTCCTGAAGTCGTCGCCTAGCCACGCCTACGCCTCCACCTATTAGTGCCCGCGCTATCTTCGGCCACTGAGCGTGCTTGTCTCAAGCGCTGCGTGTTCCTACTCCAGACGCTGCGTGTCTACTCCGGACGCTGTGTGTGTCTACTCCGGACGTTGTGTTTGCCTACTTCAAGCGCCACGTGTACCTACTCCAGACGCTGCGTGTCTACTCCGGGTGCTGCGTGTATCTGCTCCGGGCGTTGCGTGTGCCTACTCCAAGCGCTGCGTGTACCTTCTCCAGACGCTGCATGTGCTTTCTCCAGATTCTGCGTGTACCTAGAGCAGGCGCTGTGCACCTATCATAGGCATAGCCTGTGTATACTTCGTTGCAGTATCTTTATTTTTGTTATTTTTTTTTAATAATATTGTAAATCACTATCATCATTACAGCCCATCATCACCTTCATACCTTTTTTTTATAAAAGAAACTGTAAATCTTTTCAAATTTTTAAAATAATTTATTTTTATTTTTGGCTGTTTTGTTGTAGTTAGGTTAGGTTATTTAGTTTTTAATTGTCGCTTTACGACAATTTGGCGCCCGACGTAAAAGTTCTTCTTTTCTTCACCTTAGCTACGCCTTATCCATTTCCTTTTGATTGAATTGCTTTCTCTTTCGTTCTTAACTCTTTATTTACTCATCCTTATCATATCTTCCAAATTCTAAAACAAAACTTCATCTAGTTTTTCAACTTATCTGGATTATATTTAGACCTACATATAACACTTACATTCATCACCTTAATATTTTTATTCTAGAGAACTTAAAGAGGTACTATCTTCCAAATTCTAAAACAAAACTTCATCTAGTTTTTCAACTTATCTGGATTACATTTAGACCTACATATAACACTTCACTTACATTCATCACTTTAATATTTTTATTCTAGAGGTACAATTTTTTATTAAATTTTTATTTCTTAAACTTAACACTTAATTATAACAATGAAACGGGTTATTAAGTACGAATTCCTTAACAAGGCCGAACTCGAATACGAAGTGAAGATTAGATGTGAGGAACCAGCTAATACTGTTTTGCTTCTAAAAAAACAGGTTTTGCGTTTAGTTGTGAATTCTCACCCTGAAGATATTCTGACTTCTCCAATTCCGATCGAGGATGACTTGTCTCAAATTGGTTCTACTTTGACTTACCTGGACTGTAAAATTGAAAAATTTTTACAAGGTGAAACCAAATACTTACGATTAATAGAAACTTTTATTAATCATGTTTTTTACAGATTGGAGCGAATAGATACTGACTTATATCCAGACTTTAAAGCTATTTTCGATACTTTGAAGATGAAATTTGACGCTATTACTAAACAATTCGAATCCTTGACTCCACCTCCAACTGAAAATGACTCTCCATCACTTGACCCTCCTGTTGACCCGATTGTCATGGAACCTCCTCTTGTTTCTCAAACATCTGTTACGATCCATACCCCGTATCCTTCACCACTACCTCAATCTTTTTCTCCAACTAACGTCTTCAAAGATCTGAAAAGACACACGTTCAATGGTAAAAGCTGTCCAAGATCCTTTCTTCAAAAACTTGAAGAATACTGCTTAGCTCGCGGCTTATCCAAAGACTTGTTGATCTCTCAAGCATTTGAAATTTTCACCGACAATGCTCTTCATTGGTTCAGATTTAAATATAATCAGAATCCAAACTTAACTTGGAACGAACTTTCCTCTTTATTAATAAAGACTTTGGTGGTTTTGATTATGATATTTAGAAGCGATTGTAGTGTGCTTACATACATACTTACATATCATTTTACACTATTTTATTTTTATTTTTCCATTCTGTTTTTGATTTTCTACATTCACCTCAAAACTGGATATTTTGCATCACCTTTATTTCCATAGGATCCTGTAATATTTTTAATTCATAAGAACACAATAACAAATCATTTTCACTTCGTATTTTCACGTTATCAGCACTTTTTAAATCGGTGTCAATGGAGTCTACCTTTTTCGATCTTTTATTTAGTTCTCCGTAACTCTACAATTTCGGGTTTCGTGCGCGCTCTTGCGCTACCTTTTTTCCTATATAAATAATATCTCATTTTTCACTTAAATCTTGCCGTTTCTGTATTACGAGCTTAAAACCAAAATTTGACATGTTTTGACATCGTTGTTTATCTGGTTGTCGTGGCAATTTTTATTCAAATATTGTTACCGGCCTGATGTTTTTACTTCAAAAATACTCTTTTCTTCTTGGCCATTTACAAAAATTTGCTTTTAATTTAAATAATTTCAAATAATTTCTCGTTCTTATCCCAGATCCGTCAAAAAGTATAAAAGCCGAAGAATCGGCCGATAGAGGTCCTCACTTCAGCTTTGATACGAGAAGCACCTCTTAAAGGCTTTATCCGCACTGCCTCGGGATCTTGCAAGCCTTCTCCTGAAGTCGTCGCCTAGCCACGCCTACGCCTCCACCTATTAGTGCCCGCGCTATCTTCGGCCACTGAGCGTGCTTGTCTCAAGCGCTGCGTGTTCCTACTCCAGACGCTGCGTGTCTACTCCGGACGCTGTGTGTGTCTACTCCGGACGTTGTGTTTGCCTACTTCAAGCGCCACGTGTACCTACTCCAGACGCTGCGTGTCTACTCCGGGTGCTGCGTGTATCTGCTCCGGGCGTTGCGTGTGCCTACTCCAGATTCTGCGTGTACCTAGAGCAGGCGCTGTGCACCTATCATAGGCATAGCCTGTGTATACTTCGTTGCAGTATCTTTATTTTTGTTATTTTTTTTTAATAATATTGTAAATCACTATCATCATTACAGCCCATCATCACCTTCATACCTTTTTTTATAAAAGAAACTGTAAATCTTTTCAAATTTTTAAAATAATTTATTTTATTTTTGGTTGTTTTGTTGTAGTTAGGTTAGGTTATTTAGTTTTTAATTGTCGCTTTACGACAAATTGCAATTAACAAATTATTTAGCCGTGGTAGCTCAGTGGGTAAGCGCTCGCTGTAGATTTCACAGTAAGCGAACAACCCGTTTCGATCCCCGCAATTAACTATAATTACATAATATTTACAATCATAATTATACTAAGTTTACCTGTTTCATTTTTATTTGATATCATGTTTTAATAAATTATTTTAAAGTCTAAAGTAAGTTTAAGCTGGGTTAGTTTATTTTTTCGCCACTATTATTCTATTTCCGAACAGATTAATTGAAAAAGGAAAAACTGGCATTTAAATTGCCCTTTTTGTTAGAGAATGCACTACCTCGTTTCAACCTGTGAGTGTCGTGTGAGGCGACAAAGGGAAATAATTAAACAAGAGATAGGCAGCAGCCCCCTGCTGATAACAAAAAATACATAAACTGCGGTTGCTAAACCACCTGCAAAGCGTGGTACCCAACTATAGAAAAAATCCCCCCCATATTCAATCTGTGAGAAAGGCCTATGTTCAGCTGTGGACTTTTGATAGGCTGTAATGCACGAAATAATCATATAGATAATAATTCAAAATAATAAAAACCTTTTGCCATTTTACCGACCAAGCGTGGCAACTATGGCAAACATCCTCCCTATGAGAAAATATATGGGGAGGCCTATATTCAGCAATAGAGCGTTGTTAGGTTGTATTAAAAGAACGTAATTAAATTACGGTTTTTACCAGTTTTCACCTACCTGGCAAATCCTCGAATAAGCTTCGGACTAAGTTTGATTTCTGGTGTTCCCATTCTTGACTCCGATTCCGCCACATATTATTGTTGTAATCCGAAAGAAATAAATACTTTTATAACTAGTAGAAGCTAAGAGTAGAATCGATAACGGATGTTAGGGTATGTAAAAATTTGTGCGCAATAACACAATTTCGCAGTAGAAGGTATTTCTAATTTTTGTGTCTATGATGAATTCAATTAGTCTATGACTAAATTATGTATAATTTATTATTAATGTTTTTAAATATTTATATCAATTAATGTTAACAGAAACTTCATTTAATATGAACAAAAAACGTAGTCGAATAATATGAAAATTCGCACTATCATGGTATAACTAAAAATATATCGTGAAAATGTCACTATCAAATGTACTTAAATTCAGCTGGTATATTTCTCCCAAATTATCCCCATAATAATCATGGAATTATGGGTTTCACAGGAAACTGTAAACATGTAAAACCAAATACCCCTTTGAAATATTTTCTTTATTTATTTTTTCCAACAGTGTTGCCACGTAGACCGGTCTGAATCGCCAGAATTTTGACGCGAATTAGTCTAAATTCGCCTAATTTTTTTGATAATTGCCTGAAACCGCTTAATGTTATGTCAAAGAAAACGGTTTATGTGTTCGTAATTGAAAGAAAAAGGAGAGCAATAACATTCCGCTGCAACATGTTGGCTCGCAGATTTGCTCGGGGTAACACAGAAGTTAAAATTACACTTTTTAAAGTATTCTGCCAAACAATGTATGGGTAAAATCAGCCAGGGGTATCAATATTTCGATCTTTCGAAATTTTTTTTGACTATTTTTACCAAATTAGAGACAAAAACTATCGTATCTCAGTTAGATCAACATTATAGTAGAATAAAAATATTTTGGTTTCTATTTTTAATACCACGTGTTTTTTCTCTCCTCAAAATGTAAATTGAACCTCCCAAGATTCACCCTAAATCGGGTGGACTATTAATGTCATTTTCATTTAGGCCATAAAGGTTAGAGAACAGGAGAACGATCACTACGTACTAAAGCATACCTCGGCTGTCCTTGAAAATTGTAGAATACATAGCGGCGCTGATGTCGGTGAGTAGTGACTGCTATGTTAGGTGTTTATTACAAGTAGGTGAAGTAAGTTGAATATTATACAAATTTTCATTTCATTTTTTCGTAGAAAATTTTCAAGCTCCGTAATTTTGTAATTTTGGACAAAAAGAAACATTAAAAAATGGAGAAATATTTTATTGTGCGTGGAAGTGCAAGTGGTTGAGCATCTGATCTGAAAAATAGACTGAAAATGACTTTTATTGACTGCACTTAGTGATCGCAGCGTCTTCCTGATGGTGTACATATTTCTGGGACACTATTTTCTACGGCGATCGTTCTCTTGTTCTCTAACCTTCATGATTTAGTCATTATATAGCGCTACGCTACTGAGTTTGAGCTCTAGGCGAGCCGTTCTCTCCTTATATGTACCTAAAGCTTGTTGTGGTGAACTTATCAAAGCGTGATTGCATGAAACTTTGTCTCTGGTCGGTTTCCTTATTAATGTAATGAAAAAAAAAACTCATTTGTTTATTTTTTGTAAAAATGGAAAAGAAATTCGCTAACCATATTGAAAAAATAAAAATAGTATTATGAATTTAGATTATATAGTCGTTTCAAATTTTTTATTGCTTTATAATTTTTTTTATCTTAAGTAAGAATTTGAATAATCCTCCAGCTACATATGTATCCATACATAAGTAAGAAAAAATTGAACCCCACCCCTTAGCCTGGTAAAGTAATAAATACTTGAACGTGCCTAAGACCGTCTATTTATGATAAATATGTAGCAAAGGGTTTTAAAAGAAAAACTAGAATGTGATCAATTTTTTATTACAGCATTACACTAAAAATAAACCTTTTGGCTAAACCATCACTTATCACTTATGTTCTCACACTCCTATTGATACTAAATCGGCAAAGTAATTTATTTATTTTTATTGCAAACATGGTTATAGTTACTCTTTTACTTTTTAAGCACAATAACGGACTTGGATCAAGTTGATATAGCTACCCATATAAGTTGTGATATACTGGACCTAACAAAGTACAGTAGTATTGGTAAAACAGATCTTACCATATTATTGTTACGCCGCGCTCAAATCGGCGCACTAGCGCCATCTAGTCTCGAACCGAAGAACTAAACTTCTTGAAGTTTAAAACTCGAACTCTCGGTACCTTGCGCGTGTTTACTTGAACATTCTGGATATTTTGCTAATTTATATAACTAGGCGCTGCAAGATGCGAGCGGGCAGAGTTGAACTCGGCGACACAAGCGAAGCTTCGGAGCGGAATTAAGTTAATTAGTGTGTTTAATTATTAGTGTTTTTAGTTTTAATTTGTGTAAAGTAAATTAAAGTGTTAATTTAGGTAATTTTATCGGCAATTTTTATTGTCACGAACCTCAAGCTCGTAACATTATGTTAAAACATTAGAATTATTTATCGTAACATTGATAACCTCCAAGCTACCCTATCACTTCTCAAATTTGAAGTGGACGTCTTAGTTTTAACAGAATGCAGACTAGATAAATCAAAGCCGATTCCACAGATCCCTAATTATACTGCTTTAGAAACAACGTACAACATTAACCAGAATGATGGTGTAGTGATTTATGCTAAATCTCACCTAAATCCTGAATTTATGGAAATTAAACTCAAACATGCCTCTTGCATACAACTAAGAATTCTCGATCTGACGATATTGGGCATTTATCGTTCACCTTCGAACTCAAACGCATCTGAATTCATTGAGTCCTTGAGTGCACACCTTGGAAACATAAAATCTTATCGTAACATAATCATCTCTGGAGACATCAACATCAACCACATTCAGTGAAGGAACGAACAAACTAATGACCGCAATAATAGAATTGACTATCTAAACACGCTAGCTAGTCACGGCCTACTTGCTGGTCACAAACTGCCCAAGAGAGAATCCAGCTGCCTTGACCACTTCATGGTAAAATTAAACAAAATAAAATTTTCCGCAAATATCGCTATTTTAAATACTACACTTCCAGATCATCTGATTATATTCATGTGCATATCAAAACATAAAAGCAAAACAATTAATCAAAAATCATTGAATGTGTAAATTTTGAAACTGCATATGAGGGGTTGCTCCAAAAGAACCTGGAGTCTTTGCTTCTTTGCGAAGATCCCGACTTAGTTACCAAGCGCCTTTTGCTATGGCTTGCGGAGTCACTGAAAGAGAGTAAAACAATAATATATGTTACCAAAAACCAGCAGAATATTAAACCTTGGATCACAGATGGAATTCTTAGGTGTATCAGAAATAGAAATAAAATGCAGCTGAAGCTTAGGTCCGATCCATCAAATGAAACTCTAAAAATTACTTTCAGACGATATAGAAACTACGTTAATAACCTTATAAAAAACTAAAACGAAAATATGACAGAGAACTATTAACTACTGCTGCCAAAAGATCCAAAGAACTCTGGAAAATAATAAAAACGGTAACCTATTTTAAAATTTCTAAATCACATTGCAAAGAACTAAAACCAACACCGTCTGACTCTGTTAATTTGGTAAATTGTTATTTTGCTAATATAGGCAAACAATTAGCTAATGATGTTATGAAAGGTATATCTCATGTCTCACAAAGTAGCACTCCCATTTACACGCTAAAACCACATAACACACCTTTTGTCCTCTTGGAGACTGATCCTGGAGAAGTTTAATAGTGTGATCATGAGTCTCAAAACAGATAGTGCCCCTGGTTGGGACAATATATCGACCAAATTCCTTAAGATCTGTAGCCCTATTGTTGCGCCCATAATAAGTCATCTTGCAAATCAAAGCTTTAGATTAGGTGTATTCCCTACACCCCTAAAAAATCTATTGTTACTCCGGTTCATAAGGGTGGAGATAGATGTAACATCAATAATTATCGACCCATTTCTCAAGTCTGAGAATTTATAATGCGGCCACGGATGCCCACTTTGGTGGGCTTCTCCTCTGCAGGGGTGTAGCAATACCACGACATGGTTTTGTCTTTTTCGGAGAGCTCGACCATGTATTTCTGGATGGTGCGGAACTCATCCGGGCTCTGTGGTGTAAACCTGACTCCCTTCCCGAACGGACGGGCATTAGGAGGGTGGCCCAACTTCTCATTGAGGACATTGAAATGCCTAGTCCAGTCCGGGAGGCATTCTGCGACAATCAGTGGATATCTCGACTTCTCTTTCTCCTTCTCAGTTTTCTGAGGCTCCTCCGCCGATTGCGGTCGTGGTACTGCAGGGGCCGCAGCCATGTGGGCATAGCTCGTTGACGGCCGCTGTCCATCGTTGTGAGTTAACCCGGACGGGTTGGTGGTTTGTACCGAGGATGATCTTCCGGCTGATGCAGCTAGGGTTGCGTATGTTGTTGAGCCCCAGCTGTAGGACTCCTCACCTCCTTGCTCAAATTGGGCCGAGTCATGGGTATGTCGGTCCGGATTCGGATGGTGGCTGTTGCGGTGGTGATGGAGACTTAGGAGGTGAGGTGTGGACCTTCTTCCTTGTCGCTATTTGGGGCTCCTCATCATCCGATGACGCTGATGATGGTTCCGATGATTGTCTTATGCGCTGCCTCTTCTCATGGAGAGAGGCCTCGGTCTCAGGCGGTGTATGCCTTCGTGGCGTCTTCATGGGCCGCTGTTGTTGAGAGGGCAGAGAGGTTCACGCCCAGTCGTACACTCAGGTACGATGGGCGAGAGTGCAACCTAGGTGGGACTTCTTACCCGGCGGCGAAGGTTTCCGGGTCGGTATTTGGGAGTAGGATGAGACAACTCTCATCCTCTCCGGATTGAAAATGTCGCGGTAGGCGATAGGTCTCTCCAGTACGCCTGGCCGGTCCGGTGGTTTCCTCGATTTAGGAGGAGGTTCCCCCTTATCGTTCCCTGACATGTCCCTAACCTAGCAGTCAGCGGTAATCTACTAAATGCCCTATCTATATTCCAGCCGATCGGCAGCAGAAATTGGTGCGCGACGCGGAT